GGGGGGACATTGGGGGGACATTGGGGGGACCCTGGGGTGACCCCGGGGTGACCCTGGGGGTGCCGAGGCGTTTCCGGGGGATTTTGGGGCTCCCCCTCAGCTCGGGATTGGCTGAACCCGCCCAGCCCCCCCCGAGGGACCCGGGGGTGGCAGGGAATGGGGGAATTCCCGGATATTCCCGGAGGGGAATTCCCAACCCCGGATCCCAATTCCCAACCCCGGATCCCAATTCCCGAATTCCCAGATCCCGATTCCTGAATTCCCAGATCCCAATTCCCAACCCCGGATCCCAATTCCCAACCCCGGATCCCAATTCCCGAATTCCCGGATCCCAATTCCCGAATTCCCAGATCCCAATTCCCGAATTCCCGGATCCCAATTCCCAACCCCGGATCCCAATTCCCGAATTCCCAGATCCCAATTCCTGAATTCCCGGATCCCAATTCCCAACCCCAGATCCGAATTCCCGGATCCCAATTCCCAACCCCGGATCCCAATTCCCGAATTCCCGGATCTCAATCCCCGAATTCCCGGATGCCAATCCCCGAATTCCCGGATCCCAATCCCCGAATTCCCGGATCCCAATCCCCGAATTCCCGGATGCCAATCCCCGAATTCCCGGATCTCAATCCCTGAATTCCCAGATCCCAATCCCCGAATTCCCGGATCCCAATCCCCGAATTCCCGGATCCCAATCCCCGAATTCCCGGATGCCAATCCCCGAATTCCCGGATCCCAATTCCCGAATTCCCAGATCCCAATTCCCGAATTCCCGGATCCCAATTCCCGGCGCCGGATTTCTCCGTTGCTTCCCAACCCCCCCTGCTCCCCGGGAAGACGGAAAATTCGGGAAGCGGCGGAGCCGAGCTTTTATGGAGATCTGGGCGTGGGCAGCACGCGGAATTTCGGCATTCCCACCCGGATCCCGACATTCCCACATGGATCCCAATGTTCCCACATGGAATTTCGGCATTCCCACCCGGATCCCGACATTCCCACCCGGATCCCGACATTCCCACATGGAATTTCGGCATTCCCATGTGGGATCCAGGAATTCCCACGTGGAATTTGGGCATTCCCACACGTGATCCCAGAATTCCCTCGTTGGATCCCAGCGTTCCCACACGGAATTCGGGCATTCCCACGCGGGATCTTTGCATTCCCGTGTTCAATCCTGACATTTCCACACGGAATGTGGGGATTTCCACACGGAATTCGGGCATTCCCACACAGGATCCCACATGGGAATCCCGACTTGATCCCACATGGAATCCTGACTCGATCCCACATGGGACAAATCCCGGAGTGGGGAAATCCGGGAATGCCAAACCGGGATCCTGCTGGAATTCCTGCCGGATCTACCAAAATTCCAGCAGATCCCCTGGAATTCCAGTGGGATTTCCCAGAATTCCAGCGGGATCCCCCAAAATTCCAGTGTGGGAATCCCAGAATTCCTGGAGGGGGGCTCTTCCAAAATCCCAGCGGATTTCCCAAAATTCCAGTGGGATTCCCTGGAATTCCGGCAGCATCCTCCAAAATTCCAGTGGGATTTCCCGGAATTCCGGCAGAATCCTCCAAAATCCCAGCGGATACCCCAAAATTCCAGTGGGATCTCCTCAGAATTCCAGCGGGATCGCCCAGAGCGGAGCAGGGAATAAAAACCGGGAATGCCCAAAGCAGGAATTGGGGCTCTGTGGGCTGGGAGGTTTGGGGGTCCTCTGGGATCCCGTTGGATTTTGGGATCCCACGGGATTTTGGGATCCTGTGGGATTTTGGGATCCCGTTGGATTTTGGGATCCTGTGGGATTTTGGGATCCTGTGGGATTTTGGGATCCCGTTGGATTTTGGGATCCTGTTGGATTTTGGGATCTCACTGGATTTTGGGATCCCGTTGGATTTTGGGATCTCACTGGATTTTGGGATCCCGTCTGGATTTTGGGATCCTGTTGGATTTTGGGATCCCGTTGGATTTTGGGATCCTGTTGGATTTTGGGATCTCACTGGATTTTGGGATCCCGTTGGATTTTGGGATCCCGTTGGATTTTGGGATCCTGTCTGGATTTTGGGATCCCGTTGGATTTTGGGATCCCGTTGGATTTTGGGATCCCATTGGATTTTGGGATCCTGTTGGGATTTTGGGATCCCGTGGGGTTCAGGCACTTCCTGGCCTTGGGGTCAGGTGGGATTTCAGGAATTTCGGGATTCCGTGGATTTTGGGGTTCTGGGGAATTCCAGGTTTCCCCGGGATTTTGGGATCTGCTGGATTTGGGGATCCTGGGCGTTCCAGGTTTCCCCGGGATTTTGGGGATCCCTGGATTTCGGCCTTGGGATTTGGGAAACGCTCGGGAGAACAAAAACCGAGGGATCCTCCGGGATCCTCCAGGAATTCCTGGAATGTTCCAGAATTCCCTGGGATCCTCCGGGACCTCCTGGAATGTTCCGGAATTCCCTGGGATCCGGAATTCCCTGGGATCCTCTGGGATCCTCCAGGACCTCCTGGAATGTTCCGGAATTCCCTGGGATCCTCCGGGATCCTCCGGGATCTTCCGGGAATGTTCCGGAATTCCCTGGGATCCTCTGGGATCCCTCACGATGCTCTGGGATGCTCCAGGACCTCCTGGAATGTTCCGGAATTCCCTGGGATTCTTTGGGAAGCTCTGGGATTTCTGGGATCCTTGTGGTTCTCTGGGATGCTCCGGGATTTCCGGGATCTCCTGCGATTTCCCGGGATGATCCGAGATTCTCCAGGATTCCCTGCGATGGTCCAGGATGGTTCAAGGTTCCCCGGGATCCTCCGGGATTTCCCGGAATTCCCCGGGATTGTTTGGGATCCTCCAGGATACTCCAGAATGTTCCAGGATTCTCTGGGATTTCCCGGAATTCCTCAGGATGTTCCAGGACCCCCTGGGATTTTCCAGGATTTGGGATCCTCCGGGATTTCCCGGAATTCCCCGGGATTATTTGGGATCCTCCAGGATGTTCCAGGATCCTCCGGGATTTGGGATCCTCCAGGATGTTCCGGGATCCTCTAGGATTTCCTGGAATTCTCCAGGACGATTCGGGATCCTCCGGGATGTTCCAGGACCCCCTGGGATTCCCCGGGATTTGGGATCGTCCGGGATTTCCCGGGATTCCCCGGGATTTGGGATCGTCCGGGATGTTCCAGGACCCCCCGGGATTCCCCGGGATTTGGGATCCTCCGGGATTTCCCGGGATTCCCCGGGATGCTCCGAGGGCGGCGGCTCCGGGCTCAGCGCCAAGCAGGACGAGTCACGGGGGGCTCCCGTCCCTCTCCGGGATCCTTTTGGGATTTCTGGGATCCTTTTGGGATTTTTGGGATCCTTTTGGGATTTCTGGGATCCTTTTGGGATTTTTGGGATCCTTTTTGGGATCTGTCCCCGTCCCGATCCCGGATTTAGGACGCGGCCGGGTCCCGGGGCGCGGCGTCCTCGGGATACTCCTCGGGATACTCCTGGGAATACTCCTCGGGATATTCCCGGGAATATTCCTCGGGATACTCCTCGGGATAGTCGTCCCCGTCCGGGAAGCAGGGCCCCTCGCCCAGCTCGAAAAAGATGGGAAGATCCCCGGAT